CGTTACTTCAAGTTCACTTTTTATTTGTGTAAAACTTTAGCACAACTGCTCAGTAAGAGTGTGAGTGAGAGAGTGATACAAAAAAGGTAAGTATTGGACAGTACTTAACGTACTGTCCGTCTATGTGGGTCACAGTGACCCACATCTGGTGTTTATGGCCCTAATCTTGTCCACTAGTGCCAGGATTGCTGGCACCGGTATTCCCAGAATCTGGCTGTGGCCTCAATATAACTTATTTACTTTTGTTATAATATTTAATTTACAAAAAAAATTATTTACTAAAATGCACTAGGCATAATTTATTAATTTACACTCATTTACACTCATATAACATAATTTCATTGTATTATACAATTTGTAGACAATTCTGTAAAAATTAGACTTATAGGACATTATTGTATTTCTAATATCTTATTGACAATAATTTATTGTAAATATTAAGAAATAATAATTTTAATTGAATTTTATCCAATAATTGAAATATATAACAATTAGTCTAGGATTGCATACATACAATTATATACATGTAAATATTTATATAATTAAAATACATATTACATTATATATTTACAAATAATGAATGAATTGCTTTTTATTTTTGTATTAATTTTGGTTATAAACAAGGTTCACACGCTATGCTAGAGCTTAACCACAATTAAATAGCTTAACAAAATTCATCAAACATGTCAAATTTTTTATGTTATTGTTATGTTTTCAATATTGTTATTTTCAAAATTTTAAATATAATTAAAAACAATTAGTTCTATTAAAATTGTCAGGTTCCTTTAATATATTTCCATAGAATACACATACACTTAACACAATTATGAATAATTTATTTGCAAATACAGTATTTTGTTTACAAACTTTGATAAAGTATACGCCCACAAATAAAATACATTACAACAATCATTTTAGATTAAACTAGATCTAAACAAAACATACTAATTTAAAATATCACTTAAACTACAAACAATAATTGTGGTCAACATTACAAATATCAATCCATGTAAACAATTTTGCACAATTTATTACCAACCCTAGTGAGAGAGCATGGTCGTTATTAGTACAATGAAATAATTATAATTATTATTAACAATTTATTACATATTTAATATAAACCATAATGTCTTTCACGTGTCATAAAATAGTACACCGTTTGCGTGCCATAGCGAATATAAACTGGGCGTATAGTTGTGGTACATAACTATCCCATTTAGCAAGGTAGAAGTTTGCGGCCACGGGTTCGCCCAACCCGTGCTTAAGGGCGAAGTCACGTAATTGAAACGCTCGCCGGCCGTCAATATCCCGGTTCATTACGCGTTGGTCATCGCAGTTGAGAGCACCGGCCGGTTGTCTGTACACCACAAACACATACCGGTGAAGACCGGACCCTCGGGGCGGACCGGCGCCTATATAGTCAGCCAGTGTTTTACCGGCCTCTATGTCAGTGCCCGGTATGTCCACAACTAACCAGTGTTTGAACAGCTCGTCCGTGGGGTCCGAATCTACGAAACACAGCGTATACAGCGCTCCGTCGACTGCCGGCCACTGCAGACTCGGCACGTGTTTCACTTGTTTGGGCGCCAACTCATTGCCTAACTCTACGGTCTGTCCGCTCGGGTATGATATCTGGTTATCATTGAAATATTGAGTCACTATTTGTCACAGTATTTAAGCTAACATTTGTGTTCATATTTTTATCTTACATTTAGTATAATTTAAGCTCAATATAACTACTTTACTGCACATTAATTATAAATACTTATTTAATTATACTTTAATTTAATTATTTGTACTTAAATTAAATGTAATTAATTAAATAACCGGAATGAAGGAAGATATGGATATGTATTGTCAAAGAATAATTATTTTAATTTATTTATGGTAAAGGTTTTAAATAAAGATGCTCAACTAAACTAACAATGTGTACGAATCTAAATTCAAAAACATTTGATAAACAAATTCTATTTTTAAATAACAATTAATTATTTTTAAAAATGTCAATGTAATGTTATTTTTATTTTATTGTCAACAGTTGAGTATGAAATGTATGGATTTACTAAACACTTAAGTTAAGTATAATTGTAATTAATTACACATTATTTTGTGTTCAAATGCAAATTCGTTTTGTTTAAAACTTTGACAATAAATAATTAATTGTATTTGTTTTAAAAATAAATAATAATTATAATAATTGTATAATTAATAATTAAAAATTTGTTTTATTTGATATTAAAATCTGGAGCAATTCCAGTATTTACTGCTTATTATTTCCATACCTACTGTATCCATACCATCCCTCCTCCAAATCAATAAAATTGAGTTTAGTTTTGAAAACTTTGGTCAATAAACAGAATTACAAAATGATTATAATTTATAAATATGGATTGTCGTTAAGGCAACAAATTTCAACATTTTTTTAACAATTAATTTTTTATTAATTAAATAATTTTTAAAAATAAAATATGATTATTTTGATAAATATTATAACCCTTTTGTCAATTTTGTTTATATTTTATATATAATTCACTCATTGAATGCAATTTATATTGAAATCAATGAATACAACACCACTTTTTGGTCTAAATATTTGCTATCGGTGATTTTCACTTTATAATTGAATAGCATTTTTACAGTATATAGAAATGGCATCTAATTTGACGTGGAAATTTTGGCCAGAGCTGATTTCCACTGTATATAGAAATGGCACCTAGGTTGAGGTGGAAGTTCTGGCCAGGGCGGATTTCCACCTCAGATTATTAATAGCATTTTCACTGTATATAGAAATGGCACCTAGGTTGAGGTGGAAGTTTTGGCCAGGGCGGATTTCCACCTCAGATTATTAATAGCATTTCCACTGTATATAGAAATGGCACCTAGGTTGAGGTGGAAGTTCTGGCCAGGGCGGATTTCCACCTCAGATTATTAATAGCATTTTCACAGTATATAGAAATGGCACCTAGGTTGAGGTGGAAATTTTGGCCAGAGCTGATTTCCACATCATATTTGAAGACCATTTTCACAATTTATTAAAGTGGCATCAATGTTGCAAAGTGTGGTGAGGCCAGGGCAGATTTCCACCTCATACTGTAATTTTTCTGGTCTTATCAAATCGATACCAATTGAGAAGCAATGGTCTCATTTCGAGATAATCCAACTCCAGAGGGAAACCATAAATATTCAAATACTTGGACTCATTGATGAACGACGAGTCCCGAAGAGGGCCCATATTTACAGAGAACGACGACAACTGTCAGGAGCTTTGCGTTACCGCGAGAGACACGAGCGAAAAGACTTTAGACAAACCGAGACTCAAGAGGAATCCTGTACACAATCAGTCGCCACAGTTTCTGATAAGTATTACATTGACTCCACAGACAGCATAAAAGTTTCCAACCGTATCGTTGAAACCAATCAAGCGCTAGACAACAGTCACCCCATCTTCAGACGATCGAGTGGTCACTCAACCATCTGATAGGGATCGTCACCAAAGCCGCACAGACAGCGAGACACAGGCGACTTCGCGCTCAGCTCCACAGAGAAGTGTGTCGTTTGTCACGAGAAACAGTTGGTCAGCGCGAATCGAGACGAGCCGAATCCCACAGACGTCGCCGTGGAAACCGTCACTCAAAAGATGATCACCGCAACAGTGATCGCAAATAAGTTTTTAAACTACAATTTATTTCAGAGCTTATATTATTATATTGCTTTGTTGTAATAATTAATTATTACTTTGATCATTTTATTAATTATTGCTTATATTGTTTTTATGCTTACACTACTTATTATATGCTTTTATTATTAGTTACTCTTATTAATTATAACAATTTCTTTAAGATTTTTACATTACTTATTATAAATAAATTTATAAGTATAATAATGGGTTATTTATCTCTCAGTTTATGCGACAATCAACATGGGAGATTTGTCTCCCACTTTAAGTTCAACACTATGGGTAATAATACTACCAGTTTATGCACTAAATGATGGCCGATTTATTTTCCAGTTTATTTACAACGTCTATAATATACTTTATGTTTAGGCTATAAGGGTTAATAAAACATTTATTTACCGATTTATCGCAGCATTTGATCCGTGGATGTGATGGACATAAAAGAGTTTGCATTTCAGATAAAAAATTTATGGAAAAAAGTTTTATACTTTACATTGAAATCCATTTGTTTCTCAATACCAGTCTTCTGGCCATCACTTCCGATGCAATGCATGTCCACTTCGGGTAGACATCAAAACACTGACACTTGATATCCGCTGTTTTCCATCCATTTCTCTGACCAGTGATTACTTGTAATAATATAATAATAATAATAAAATTTATAATTCATTTGTTTTCACACATTATATAATCAAAAAATTAATATATTTTCTCAATTCATTCACACATTAATTAAAAATCAAGAAAAAAGTGATTACAATAAGAGGAGAGAAAATCATTTAAAAATTTAAAACAACAAAAAACTTTTTTTGTGGCAAACATTGAATTCCTGGTTGTGTTTTAAAAACCAATATTAAAACACAAATTAATTATAATATTATCGTTATATTTCTCTATGGGATTAACCAATTGTTTTAAATTATAAATGAATTATACATTTAATTAATAGGTAGACTTCCCCCGACCTGTCCATCCGATAACACAAAAGTGATAATTTATAATTAATAAATTAAACTATTTTTATGAGACATGTAAGTCTATATTTAAATAATGGAATTAATATTTAAATAAACAACAGATTTAAACTGAATATTGTTTATTATAAAACTTTAATTTTAAGTGATTGTGAATACAGTAAAAAATTTGGTGAACTTCTCAGTGACCGTCGCTTACCATTGATCGTCGCCGACATCTGTGCCAAACATCCGGTACTGAAAGTTATAATTGTTATGTTTTAATAAAAATTATAACTTAATTATTAGTTAATAAAACACTTGTTTACCGATTTGTCGCTGAATTTGATCCGTGGATGTGATGGACATAAAAGAGTTTGCATTCAAATAAAAAAGTTTATGAAAAATGTTTTATACTTTACATTGAAATCCATTGGTTTTTAATACCAGTCTTCTCGCCATTGTCTTTCTTTTTGTGTCCAAAACCATGAAATCGCTGCCAATCTGTAAGAAAACCCCAACACTTGATATCCCTTTCCCGTCGATTACAGACTAATCCTTGTCTGCAATCCACAGGACTATGACTTCAAGTGCTGCACAACCAATGGATCCGATGATTAGTCCATTCATCCACTCTTAGGCCACAAACCATTGAATCGATGCCAATCTGTGAGTAAAACCCCAGCACTTGTGTCCCTATTCCTCATCACTACAAGCGCTGAACGTCTGGACCATAACCTCAAGTGCTGTACAACCCATGAAAGCCTCCCCCAAGACATGCCCTCCCAGTCCTCACTTTTTAAACACATGTCATTCCTCTTGCGATGGATTGCATCCAAACGTGTAGTCCTTTCGCCGGTCTTTGAGATAATCTAAACATTGAAAACAAGAAAATGATTAGTATTTGAGTCCAAAAAGAAGTTGTCATGAAATGCAAGCTCTTGTCTGTCCATCGCATCCACGGATCAAATCTCGGATTCAAATGCAGACAATGTTTTGCGAAACAAATGTTTAGTTTTGAAATTATTTTAATTTTCAAATTTCATAAGTGTTTTGTCAAAAATTAAAAACTTGCAAAATATATGTATTTTGTGGTAAAATGTTTGATAATTTTTGGCAAACAATTGAAATGAATATAAAAAACTAAAACTAAATGAAAACAATTGTAAATATATTTTAAACATAAAATTTTGAAAACATTCAGAAAGAGTTTTGCGTTGAGAGCGATCTCAACGACTTTTACGCAAACAATCCGAAGGCTAACCACACGAAGACTATCAGAGCAATGGATCCGATCTGCAAAGTGTTCAACACTTTAGAAGAAATGCAATTCTTTTTACGAAAGTTGTCTTCAGAAACGAAGGCTAAAGGCGTGGAGTGTCCGCCACTTGTCCTGAAATACGGCTCGAAATCCGGAACAAAGCCTCAAACGACTACCGATACGCGCGGATGCGGTCACGACATGAACTGTGGCTCAAAGCCAGTGCAACGGGTGGTGAAGGAGAGACCCAAACAACAGTACGCGTGGGTTCAGCGGCGGCCCGGGTGTAGGACTCAAGACGTGGGTCACAATCGACGGCCACAACAATACGCTTACGCCAAGAGTGGTTCGTACGGATCGCCCAGCGCTCGGACATTGACGGAGGCCTGGAAGCGGTGTCTTTGGGAGGACTGGCAGCGCGACTACGACCAGTGGTGTGAGGAGTGGGACAATGGGACCAACAGTACCTCCAGTGGGTGTACGAACACGAGTGCGGTTACGCGTGCGACGAGTGGTGGGAGCGATGCCTTCAGTGGAGGGCGCGCCATGAGCTGTGGTGGTCTCAGTTCGACCAGTGGTGCCACGGCTTCGACTTGTGGTGGGCAGAGGTGAAGGAGTACAACGAGCGGTTGGATCAGTGGTACGAACACTGGGCACGACTCAAGGCGACCAATAGTGAAGTGTGGTTCGACCCGACCGGTGGTCTAGACGTGACGGGCAGCCATTGGGTGCCATACGACCAATGGATGGCAGGAGCGGGCCATAGGGCTGGTGGGCAGCGGTTGACCGACTCTGTCGGTCATCCGATGGCCCGTTAGTCGGTGTGAAGAGGTATAGGTGTGTGAAGCAGGGGTTGGGGGAGTGTATGAGCGGTGAGTGGTTTGGACACAGAGCCAGAGGTGACCCGTCAGCGACCCTCTCGACTGCGGGCGTTAGGGTAGACACAGAGCCG